GAGTATGGGTCACCATACTTGGCCACATGTCACGTCACTTTTCACTTTTTCACTGCGGCGGCAACAATATTACAGCGAGAATAAAAGTTACTCCTTCTTTCTTTGTGTGAACATTTGGGCGGTGTTATGCAAATCTTCCCACATAGTGAGGTAGGTATGTGGGGGCGTGTTCGAACGAGCCGTTTTAGGTAGGTGTGGCTAACTCTTAACTTTTATAAAGAATATCTCTTTGGATTTGAGACTTTAGTCTTTGCAACTTTACAGATCTTCTTTATGCACCAAGAGCTTGTAACACTCTAAAGAGAAAGGAAAAAATGAAATAGCATCATATGACCCCTTTAACACATTTTTTTCATAATCACACCAAATGAATTATAATATATGAATGTCCACTTGAGCACTGTAGCTTTAAGAGCTTTAATGACTCCAGAGCCTCTGGTCTGATGAATCACTCACAATGACGATGCATGTTAATAACTGCTGTAAACGGCCTCATCTCTAGCTCTTCAGAACAGAATTAAGTCAGGTTTTTGTGTTTGTGTGTGTTTGCAGAGCCCAGCTCTCATTACGTCATCTCTCTGAAGGCCTTCAATAACGCAGGTGAAGGAGTTCCTCTGTACGAGAGCGCCGTCACCAGATCAATGTCAGGTGGGTCGCCGGAGCATCTCACGTCTGTTTAGATCATTTCAGAGCTTCCCTTCCAGTCTGATTATAGCCATGTGCTTCACACCAGTCTCCCATACGATCACAAACCTTCAGGAGAAACTTCTCAGGAGATATACGGACAGTATTTGATGTGTACTGTATCTTCATATTTATGTTCAGTATTTGCTTTGTAAGGATTTTTTCTTCCATCAGAGGAAACGTTAGTGAGCACAGAGAAATGAGAAGAAATTGAATCAATGTGGTTGATGACTCAAATGAACCATTGAATCATGAGTTTATGTTTTAAATAGATTAATGAAACTGAACAGTTTGAACTGATTCACAGAAATGAATCAAATGAACCAGCTGTGAATCATTTCAAACTTTTCAACTTTAGAGTTGTGTGTTTGTCTGATGATGATGATGATGATGATGATGATGATGATGGCTGGGTTGTGTGTTAGTTGTTTCTTGACTAACTGTCTTCTCTCGGTGTCTCTCAGGTGAGGCTGTAGATTAATCTGCTTTACTTGGTGAATCTTACATGCGGCTCATATTTCACTTCAGAATCAGAAAGAGAGAAACAAGAAAATATATTTAGCATGAAGAAAATGCAGCTGATTTTAACAGCATATTTTTGTGCATATTTAAGCACATTTAACCCCATTCATGTGTTAATTTAATCAGAATAAATTAAATTCAGTGTAAATTAATTTCAGAATCAAAAGAAAGTAATATAAAAATATATGTAGCCTGAAGAAAGTGTGTCTGTGCATATTTAAACACATTTAACCCCAATTCCTGTATTAATTAAATCTGTATAAAATAAATTTAGCTTGAATACTAACTTTATGTATATATAAATGTACATTTGCAGTACAAATAATCTTTTTTCCATTACAATCAGCTGCTGAGGATTACTGTTGTGAAAGCAATGGTTTAATGTAAAATTGTGAACTTAATTTTAAAACTTAATTTTCTTCATGCAGAATCTAATTTCTAATTTTCCTTTTGATTATGTGTGAAAATATTGTTCATGTTTGCTGAGATTCACCCTGTACACTAAAAAATTGGTAACCTAGCAGTGGTAACATTTAACTGGTTTGATTAGTCAAATATTTTATTTATTTATTTATTTATTTATTTATTTAATCTAGTTATTTATTAATTAATTTGTTTATTTCTTTGTTTAATTATTTATATATTTATTTAGTAATTAATTAATTATTTTTACATTTATTTTTAATTATTTTATCTATTTGTTTATTTTTATCTATTGATAGTTAATCAATTTCTTTTTAATTGTTTATTCATCTATTTGTTTGTATTTATTTATTTATGTATTTATTTAAATTTCATGTAACTAAATCCACCTAAATACGTGAATTCATTTGAATTTTTACGGTCTAAATCTGTGGGTTACCACTTTTCACGGTGTAGTTCTTCTGACTTTCACCTTTACCTGTTTGTGTCACTATCTAGAGCTCAATGTTCTTCTTTGTGTCTCTTTTTTCCTCTGTCACTCCATTATCCACTCTTTTATTCCTGATCCGTCCTGTGCGCTCTCATCTGCGATCACGTATGATTTGCTGCATGAACATGACTCCACACAGACCCCTCGGACCCGTCCGATGACGATCTGTTCCATCTGTTTGATAAATTCCCTACCCCCATCCCAGATACGTCCACGCCCATGATTCCTCCTGTAGGTGTGCAGGCCGTGGCGCTCATGTCCGACTCGGTGCGCGTCAGCTGGGCCGATAACTCCATTCCCAAGAACCAGAAGTCCTCAGAGGTGCGCTACTACTCCGTCAAGTGGAAGACCAGCCACTCCACCAGCAGCAAATACAAGGTCAATACCAGTGCTTTTCAATCAAATAACTCATGGATACCATGGTAAACCAATATGGGAATTAGTCAGTGCCATGGTGTTAAACTTTGAATCAGATCAGACTCCATTGCGCTTATTTGTTAAGATCTTAAGCTTAATGTGCTTGATGCTCGTCATACAGATGCATTTAAATGTGTTTCATTAAGCGTGTTATTTTAGTATCGTTGATATACTCTTATAGTTTTGTATAATATTTTCAACTATATTTAATTTATATTTTCAGTTTTAAAGTTTTAGTAATTTTGATGTGTTGATGTGAATTTGATATTGATTGTGATATGTGATTGTGATGTGTGATTATGACGTGTCTGTGATATGTGATTGTGATATGTGATTGTGACGTGTCTGTGATATGTGATTGTGATATGTGATTGTGATGTGTGATTGTTATTATATGTGATTGTGAATTTGATGTGTGATTTTGATATGTGATTGTGATGCGTGATTGTTATTATATGTGATTGTGAATTTGATGTGTGATTGTGATATGTGATTGTGATGCGTGATTGTTGTTATATGTGATTGTGAATTTGATGTGTGATTGTGATTATATGTGATTGTGAATTTGATGTGTGATTGTGATAGGTGATTGTGATGTGTGATTATGACGTGTTTGTGATATGTGATTGTGATGTGTGATTATGATGTGTTTGTGATATGTGATTGTGATATGTGATGTGTGATTATGACATGTGATTGTGATGCGTGATTGTTATTATATGTTATTGAGAATTTGATGTGTGATTGTGATATGTTTGTGATGTGTGATTATGACATGTGATTGTGATTATATGTGATTGTGAATTTGATGTGTGATTGTGATGCGTGATTGTTATTATATGTGATTGGGAATTTGATGTGTGATTGTGATATGTTTGTTATGTGTGTCTTTTTTTTATATATCTCTGTGAAGTTTTATTAAGTTTTAGTTTGCTGTTTAGTCCACAAAGTTAAACTAACCAGAAATGATAAATGTTGAAATTAAGTAAATGTATGTTCTTATATTTTATTTCAGTTAATGTTTTTTTTTCTTGTAATGATTTTTTCTTGTTTTAGTTTGATAATAACCCTGATGTGTGATTGTGACGTGTGATTGTGAATTTGATGTTTGATTGTGATGTGTGTGTGATGTGTGATTATTACAAGTGATTGTGAATTTGATGTGTGATTATGACGTGTTTGTGATGTGTGATTGTGATTGTGAATTTGATGTGTGATTGTGATATGTGATTGTGATGTGTGATTGTGATGCGTGATTGTTATTATATGTGATTGCGAATTTGATGTGTGATTGTGATATGTGAATTTGATGTGTGATTGTGATATGTGATTGTGATGTGTGATTATGACGTGTTTGTGATATGTGATTGTGATGTGTGATTATGACGTGTAATTGTGATGTGTGATTGTTATTATATGTGATTGTGAATTTGATGTGTGATTGTGATGTGTGATTATGACGTGGGATTGTGGTGAGTGATTATGACATGTGATTCTGTGTGTTTCAGTCGGCTGATACTACAGCCCTCAGTCACACTGTCACGGGTCTGAAGCCCAACACCATGTATGAGTTCTCTGTTATGGTGACTAAAGGACGCAAGTCCAGCACGTGGAGCATGACGGCACATGCCACCACTTATGAAGCAGGTACAAACACACAGGCGTTCTTGTCCATCTTATGTTATAAAACACTGAGTATACGGCTGTTTATACTGTGTTATAGCAGAATCATCCACCTCAGTATCTGATCTGAGTCCATCAACACCTAAGAAAGTGGAGAAAATACTCAAATGCAATAAAGAAATAAAGAAATATTTAGTTCCATGTCATGGGGCCATTAATGTGAATGTGTCGTTCAATTATAGAAATATTAACTTTTGATGTCAAAGGGGTTCCGCTGACAAAAATTTTGGGAATATAATTATTAATTATTAATATAATAATTACTCAGTTTTGGTATATATAACTACTTGATAAAACACCTCTTCCTGTGGTTTATGACAGCTCTCATCCACCCACCTGTACATGTAGAAAAACAGTGTGTATAAAAGCATCTTTACTCCAGGAATAGACACATTTATCACTGTCTAAACTAACTGTAGTGAAGACATGAAACATCACGATCATAGGAGGCCTCGGGTTAATGAAGCTGTTTAATTAGTTTCTGTGTAGTGCTGGAATTAAAGAACTGCTCGTCATCTCTGAGGGTCGGATAGTAAAGTCACAGATATTAAATATGAAAGTCTCAATCTGACATGAGCAGAATACAGCACAAATGCTCTCTCTCTCCATTGGTCAGCACCGAGCTCAGCCCCAAAGGACCTGACTGTGATTGGCCGAGAGGGACGTCCACGAGCCATTCTGATTAGCTGGCAGCCGCCGCTGGAGGCCAACGGACGAATCACAGGTGACGCTCAAACACACATGACATGACAGGATAATAATTCAATTAGAGACTGTTTTCCATCACGGTCAGGACACAAATAATCCCATGCGGCAAAAATACAGATTTTTTTTTTCTGGCCAAAATATTTTGCTAAATATATGTTGTAAAATGAATGCTCAATGAATTATATTTTTACAATTAAAATATATATTTAGTTTCAACCTTTATATACCAAAATATATTTCAAAGTCTTAGAGTAGCTACATTTAGGATAAATGCAAATGTTATGCAATAGTTAAAATGCATTATAATGTTTGCAGATTTCTTGTTACATCTGAAAATTATTGTTTGTCTTGTGTTTTAATGCATTACACTTTCTAAAGATGCAACAATGTGTTATAATGTATTAGAACTGTGGTTACAATTATTCATGATATCATTATAAGGTGCATTACAAGGCATAATTAATGCATTAAAATACTTTAATAATGCATTATATATAAAGACTTTTCTTTTCCCAGTGTTTCCCAGTGTTGTTATTCATTACTAAAACTACAACTGTATATATATATATATATATATATTATTTTTATTTACACACACACACACACACACACAGTCCCATTAAGAGGATGCTGAGGGTCTGTCTGGCATTTGAAAGCTCTCGTGTGTCTTTATCTCGGCCTCATTTTCCTCGCATCACACTCACATTCTCACTCAGCAGAGACTCGACCTTTGACCTCAGAGTCAGCGCTGCACTAACCCGTTTAACCCTGCTCGTCTGTGTCAGGTTATATCCTGTACTACACGCTGGACAAGAACATGCCCATCGACGACTGGGTGATGGAGCCCATCGGCGGAGACCGGCTCACGCACCAGGTCATGGACCTCAACCTGGACACCGTCTACTTCTTCCGCATCCAGGCCAAGAACGCCAAAGGAGTGGGTCCGCTGTCGGAGCCTGTGCAGTACAGGACGGCCAAAGGTGAGTGGCTGCGTCTCAAATCATCACCTGTGCTTCATTAACACACGCTAGTAAACACTCAGCCGTTTCACTCGGATGCTGCCAAGAAAACAATCTGATTCTCTAATAATCATAAAAAATACTCCTGCAGAAAGAGTTTTATTTATTTTTTAGTCTTATTTCTTAAACTTATGTTATGCAATATTTATTACCATGATTATTATTATTATTATTATTATTAATATTTCCTCATGAACTAAAACTATTAAAACATTTTTGTTATTTTAAATAAAGCTGAAATTAAATAAAATATAACCATCAGATGAAAAACTTAAATTCAAATAAATTAGCAGTTGAAGTGCTAAAATTATAACTGTAAATTAATAAAAACTAAAACTGAAATAAAAACATTAAAGCTAAATAATTTAACATATAAAAATAACAAAAACTAATAAAATGACTAATTCACATAGCAAAATTACTACAAAATGTACTAAAATCAAAATGTAAAACTAAAAATTAATTCAAAACAAAATATAACTATTGTAAAAGAAAAATAGAAATATTGGCAACCTGGGCAACTTACAGAAATAAATTTTAGTTGCAGCACAAAAAAAAATATTAACCGAAAATTAATACAAACTAAAACCAGAATTAAAACTGAAATAAAAACAAACCTAAATAATAATATTTAAAAAGAACAAGAACTGATAAAAATGACAAAAGCACATAGCGAAATTACAAAATAAATAAATAAAATAATAATAATTGAAATGTGAAAATATACAAAACTAAAAACTCATTCAAAATGAAATATAAATATTACATTAAAAAGAATAATTAGAAATGTTTCCTTGGAAACAAAAGGGAATACATTTAATTTGAAGCATTAAAATTATTAAACAGCCATTAATACAAAATAAAATTGAAATTAAAACTGAAATAAAAACGAATTAAACCAAAATAGTAATATTTAAAATGAACAAAAACTAATAAAATATGACAACAGCACATAGCAAAATTACCAAAATATTAAACTAAAATAAATAGCTAAAAATAAAAATAAAAGCTAATTCAAAATAAAATATAAAAATTAGACTCCAACTAAAAGAAAATTAGAAATGTTGCCTTGGCAAATTACATACATAAATTTAAGTTGAAGCACTGTTTGTTTTGTTTATGGCGTTTCATAATCAAATCTTTGCGTGGGTTCGTTAGTAACTCTTCATGGCAGCATGGACCGTTTGGTGTTAAAGGTGCAATAGGTGATTGTCTTCAGAAACATTTTTATTACGCTGGTTGAAAGTCTCTTCACATCCCGATAGCAATCATTAAGTTAAGTGGTCTAAATGTATTTATCTGTATTTATATATTCTGTGGAAGGCGTAGGATCAAGAAATGTTCGTCTAATCGCATTGGTTTGTGTGAAGGGTCACAGACTCGTCGTGAATCTTCATCATTACACTCGCACACATTCACTATCACACTCAACAGCTGCTGCTGTGACCTTTGACCTGCAGGAACAGGATGTACTCACACACACACACACACACACATACATATACACACTCACACACACACAAACACATGTTTACTTAGTTATCTAAATGGGGACATTCCATAGACGTAATGGTTTTTATACTGTACAGACCGTATATTCTATTTCCCTACACCAACCCTACCCCTAAACCTACCCCTCGCAGGAAACTTTCTGCATTTTTAGAATTTTAAAAAAAACTTTGTTTACTTTATTTTTATACCAGTTTTGCAAATGAGGACGTCCCCAAAGCACACACACATTATACTGTAAAGCCAGCTGAACAAGACAAGCTCTCTGTGCGTTCTTCAGTCATAAACTCAATTATATTATTCCCATGTGTCTTTGATGATATAATCAGATAAATATGTCATTTTATTGCTCTGTAACCCTTCAGGATGTTCATTTACATACATAATTGTGTTTACACACATTTTTTTTAGTTGTATTGGTTAATCATCACTAGTACTTTACTAAGTGTATCATGATGTTGCATCTTTCTCTCTTCTTCTTTCTTATAGTTGAGCATCCGGATAAGATGGCCAATGATCAAGGTAAGCAGATGATCGCGTGATGAGTTCATTTGCTCCTCATTTGTTCATTTGTTTCTCATGATATTAAAATCTTTAAATGCTGAAATGATCCAGATGAATTCTGTGGACAAATATATACTGTACCCAAGTATGAATTTCTTTTTATTTAAAGAATAATTCACAAAAATGAACATGTGCTCAAAATGTGTTCACCCTCAGTTCATCTGAGATCAGGATGAGTTTGTTTCTTCATCAGGTTTGTAGAAATGTAGCACTGCATCAGTGTCTCAGCAATGGATGCTCTGCAGTGAATGGGTGCCGTCAGAATGAGAGTCCAAACAGCTGATAAAAACATCACAATAATCCACAAGTAATCCACAGCACTCCAGTCCATCAGTTAACATCTGGAGAAGACAAAAGCTGAAACAAATCCGGACTCTCATTCTGACGGCACCCATTCACTGCAGAGCATCCATTGCTGAGACACTGATGCAGTGCTACATTTCTACAAACCTGATGAAGAAACAAACGTCTGTGTGTGTGTGTGTGTGTGTGTGTGTAAGAGCATGAATAATTGCTTTCTCCCCAAACTCCCAGCTCTAATCTCCATCTCTCGTCTTCCTTTAAACAAATTCCCCTTTACGAATTGTCTTCAGAGCGTCTGGTCTCTCGTCCGCTGCTGATAATTCTCCGTCTGGATGGACTGAATTGTAAAGGGGTTTGTTAAGAGTCTTTGAGTGCTGTGTTGTGTTAGGAATAGTGTGCTGATAACGGCGGTGAGGAGAGACGCGTGTCGCTGTCAGCACCATCTTTAATGAGAGCTCCTTCCTTTGATTCGCGTTAATTAAGACGCGCCGCAGCAGGAATAAACTCCTCAGATGCTTTTCATTGACATCCAGAGAGAAACGTTCATAAAAAGACAGAAATGTGTCTGCAAACACAATATATGTGAATAACACAGTATTTTATTTGACTATTAGCTTACCTTTCTCAATCTGTCGTGTGATTGACTGCGTTTGTCCAGTTGACTTGTGTATGGTTTCTGAGAACAGTCATAAAAATGGAATTTATATTCATGCATTAATTATATATAATTAATGCAGAATGTAAAAAAAAATTATGATTCGCACAAAAACTCAAAGGTTTTTACAACAACACTATAAATAACAATAATTTATAACAATATAAACGTCTGGAATAACTTTAAGAAATTAGGACAGAAATACCTTACAATTACAGTAGAATGTTCTTCAGAAAGAAATAATAGCGACACAAAACTAATAATAATAATAAAACTTTATTTTTTAAGAAATATCACACAAATTATTTGCCAGAATAATAAAAAGAATTGTTACATTTTAATTTAATTAAATTTAAAAGAATAATTAAAGTGTTAATTTTAACTGTCTGGGGAAAATAAAATAACATTTCATAAAATAAAACATTTAATCAAAAAAGTAATAGATTAATAAATTGTTCAAGATGAATGAATTCAATTAATTTAATGTGATTTTGATTGTTAAAATTGTTAACTCTGAACTATTAGAACAGAAGCCAGAAAAAATAAAACTGAAAACAGTGAATTTCAGAAAAAGAAAAAAAAAGACAAAATTTGAGGAAAAAATAAATCAGATTTCATAGGGCTCGTATTTATTTTTTTATTTATTAATTTTTTTACTAAACTTGTAATAAATTGTTGTTAAATTGTTTCATGATTTCAGTATAGATGTACTTTTTGATTAATAAAAATGATTTCATAGGGCTCTAAAAAAAAAGTAATTTTTGTTAAATTTCGAATATATTGTTAAATAGTTTGCTTTATGATTTCAAATAAGCAGGCATGCTTTTTGATCAAATTAAACAAAAATTTAAACAGAAAAAGCAGCATCCAAAACAAATTTAAGCAGAAAAAAAAACTGAATTTGAAAAAGAGATGTCATACAGCTCTACTCATGTTGAAGACAGGAGTCTCGTCTGATCTTCTCATGTTCAGGTTCGTTTCGATGCAGGAGACACTGGTGTTTCAGAGCTCCAGACAGGAGGAGCAGAGTTTGTGATCTTCATCGCATCAGATCTTTGACAGACAGTCAGAGTTTTATCTGAGAGAATAGAAACAGAATACAACATTTCACTTGGACTTGAAACGAAACTGGAGTTATTTTTATCTGAATAGTGCAGTCAGCTTTACTGTTTCTCCTCAACACACACAGTCAATTAAGACAAATGAAGGAGTGTGTGTGTGTGTGTGTGTGTGCGTGCGTGCGTGCGTGCGAGTGTGTGTGTGTGTGTGTGTGTGTGTGTGTGTGTGCGTAC